TTCTTTTCACTGGACTAGATTTATCCAACTCCTGCAGTTGTTCTTCATGTTTTAGCCTCTAGCCCTCTAATCTTTATAGCTCTTTTCTGTACTCTTTCCACAATCTCAATCACTTAAATATGGGCCAACAGTGTGTGGCAGCAGCCAAAAAACCCCAATGCAATTCTAGGCTGCATTAGCAGAATCAAGATTATGTGAAATATTAGTACTGCTTTACAAAGACTTAGTACAGCCATACTTGGAATACTGCATCCAGTTTTGGTCACCACAACATAAAAAGATATTGAGATTGTGGAAAGAGTACAGAAAAGAGCTATAAAGATTAGAGGGCTAGAGGCTAAAACATGAAGAACAACTGCAGGAGTTGGATAAATCTAGTCCAGTGAAAAGAAGTTTAAAATTTTATGTTGTACTGTAAAAATATAAAAATTGAGAGGGATCACAGTTCAATGTTGAAATCCATTTTTAAATTTAAGACGCTGCAAAATCATATTGTGGTACCTCATGGCTGTTTGGAAAAGACACCTTCCTGAAATTTTGGACCAGCTGTCATGGAGCAACACTGATTAGCTTCTGTGGAATTGTGGACCACAATTCTAATAATTCTCTCTCTAATCTAATACATCTACATAGCACCAGGCAGAGAAGATTTATTAATAACATTTATTTACTGATCCACAATATAAAACTATCTGGAAAGCATTATAACACTATTGGGATGCAAAATAATACAATATGAATTGTATAACAATAAAGTAAATCAAACATAGGCTCTTAAAACAAAAAGCATACATTTGCAGCCATACATTTAAAAAAAAATGAGTCTGAGGTTATATGTAATGCATAAAGAGCCTTGGAACTGAAAAGACCTCACGAATACTGCCAAGCAAATCAGTCAAAGGAGGCTGTTCCATATCCAAAAATGTTCTTCTATCTGGTAATAACCTACCTTGGTTCATTTGATTGGCTCTAAATAATGAAGCAGAGATTCTGAAGATTTTAAAGATCAAAAACAAACATAGAAGAAAAGGTAACCTCATCTCAAACCATTTAGGTTTTTAAATATTAAAATTGGCGTTTTAAATTGAGCTCAGTAATACATTAGGAAACAGGAGAGTTGCATTAGGAGATGGATTTTTAAATAGGTAGGCAGATTCTTATTTTCTTTTGAAACTAGAGATAGTTTTAAAAATAGCTTGTGATGCACCCAAGAGAGTTGCTATTAAAAGAAAAAAGGTCTCTACGTGACAGAGGAAAAGTTTTTTTTAAAGCACTCCTTTATTAATTTAATGTTCTTGGTTAAAACTTAGATTCGGTCACTCTATTAAATCTGAATATGCATACAAGAACATACACATTCCTGTTTTGCTACTCTTAAGGAATAATAAAAGAACGCAATGCTATATGAATGTTACATTCCAAATAGCTTTACTTTTAATAGACCATTGTAATTAAAAGATTATATCACACATGTACTCTTGATCTCATTTTCATAGCCCTGTACCTAAATATTGAATTTAGGGATTAATGACAGATTTAGAATTGACCAACAGCGGCATCTCACAACCATGGAAGCAATGATTTTGCAATAAAATAATTACAGGCGTACAGCAGTACAGAATATAACCCTGTATGTTAATTAAAGTAGGGAACACCAGCCAAAACAGTATGAGTCAAGCTACAATCAAATCTATTTCTCAGCTGGTAAGCATATTGGAATGTTTACCATCTCAGGAATTGCCTGCTGTCACTAAATAAATTTTAAATCATATATCCCTCCAGAAGGAAAATGATAATGCACAGCCTAAAGAGCGGGTTTATGGATTACAGTTTATATTACCAGCAGTGGCTCTCAGATATAAAACAAATACTTTAATTAGACTAAATCCATAACGTATCTGGGCTAATCTCACAGTTAGGGTCAAAGGAGGAAAATTAAAATAAATCAATAGGACCTACCCTAGCGTAGTCAGATCCGTGCTTTTCCTTCACTCCATTTCTACAGAGCGTGTAGTTGTAAAAACGAGAGTTCTTAAGTAATCCAACCCATTCTTTCCAGCCAGGAGGCACATAGGAACCATTATATTCATTTAGATACTTCCCAAAGAAAGCTGGAAGCAGAGAATGACAAAGAGAGGTAAAGAGACAGCAATACACAAACATGTCTCAGATATCATCTGCAAGGTTTTTTTGTAACAGATTTCATACAACCCAGAAATATGAAAAAGGTATGTGTTAATATGCATTTTCTATAGGGGTAAAACAGAATATAAAATACACATTGCTCTTGCCACAATAATACTGTATATAATAATGTTTGCAACAGTCACTAATCTATTGTTGAGGGCGAAGTTATATTAGGTTGCACTCAGTATGATAAAGGCTGAAAGTCTTTGTTTCTTTTCCCTCTCCCTCCTTCCCTCCCTCTCTCTCCCCCCTTCTCTTTTGCACTTTTTAAACTTCTTTTTCAGTTTCCTTTTATTATTTAGTTTATATTTGTTTTTGCTATGTCTATTAAAAACTTCAATGCAAATTATTATTTAAAAGTCACTAATATATTATTAATAACTTTAAATGCTTGAACCTGCCAATTTTTGACAGTGGTTTAGTTGGCTATCATTTATAAAATATAAAAATAAATAGTACAAAAAATACTACAGAAAGTATGAAATATTTAAACAACCTTTTGATAGAGGACTTTTGATTTTTTTTTAAAAACGAGAAAGAAAGAGCAGAATGGTTTTACTGATTTCAGAAAGCTGGCCTCTTTTGTAAATGACTTCCAGATTTTAGATACAATCATTGAAAGTGTGCTCTTCCTGATCCTAATAAGAAAGATCTCACTGGTTCTTGGGATTTACAAGAGAGTGGTGTGGTGTGACTGTAAGAAGGTGGAGTCATATACTGTGGCTTTTACATGCACTCACTTTGTCTAATGAAAGGGCAGTCGTGATTTTGGGTCATCTTGCATAGATTGGTATAAAGATTTTACATAGTTGACTTCTAGTTCATTCAGAATAAGAGATATACTAATACATTCCAGTTCCATCAATTTAACCATTAATGTCAGACTTCCTTTAATTAGGTCATCTCCACAGTCTCTGCCAAACAACAACAACAAAATTAAACAACTGTAATTAAAGCAGAGACACACAAAACTGAACTCAAGAAAGGGCTGTGGAACCTGAGATTGCTTTCTGAGCAACATTTCATTTTTAGAGAGCAAAATGCAATCTACGATAATGTGTGAGTAAGTGAACAATGAAGGGTTCCACCACAAAACCGCGGAGGACAAAATCGCGCTCGACGAAAGCGCGCATTTGACGTCATCACAGCGCGACGAAAACATCGCGCTGTGATCGAAAAATGTAAAAATAAAGCGAAAACCTTACCCTAACCCCCCCAAACCTAACCCTAAACCTAACCCTTACCTTTATGTGAATCGGCTTGCTTTAATTTTAATTTTATTTCAATTTTTAATTTTTTTCGTCGCGCTGTGATAACGTCACATGCGCGCTTTCGTCGAGCGAGATTTTGTCCTCCGCGGTTTTGACGGGTCACGCAATGAATCACTTCTCCTGGTCTGTAGTTTAGGTGATAATGGATTAAGATTCTGATTCTTATCCAGACAAGCTGATACACAAACATCTAAAGGTTTTTGTGCCTTGTGTGTAATGGCATATAGGAATGACCTTGGGAGTTGGTGGTGGGAAGAAGAGATGCTGCCAAAGAACAATCAGATAAGACAGGGCATAGTCCACAACTGCATAATGGGCAAGGAAAGAAACACAGGACCCTCCCTAACTTCTCAGGATGTAAAAGAGACAGTGGGAAATGTCTGCAGAGATTCTCAGTCAATCCAGGTCATAGTTATCTCAAAGGGACTTTTTAAAAAGGCAACTGCATTGTTTTTTCCTTGCAGAAGAAGACAAAGTTTTGCTTCTCATCCAAGAAGTTTCATCACTTCTGGCAGTATAGTGGAGGCTATGGAGGGATTAGTTCTGATAGAATGGGGATTGGGGGTTGGAAGGATAATATTTCTTCCCAGTCATCTGGTCTTAGCACTTTCCCTGAGAGCTCTTGAGAAGATAAAACCCCAAGTAGCCTCCATCACTTCCAATCCAACCCCCCTCCCTTTCTGTCAGAACTAATCCCTCCATCACTCCCACCATATTGCCAGAATCGATGAAGCTACATGGATGAGAAGCAAAATGTCTTCTTCTTACTCAAAGAATAAACAGTCCAGTTGCCTTTTGAAAAAGCACCTTTGAGACAGATGGTGGGAGATTTGTACTATCAGATTTCCAAGGCTGATGTCAACCGTCCCAGTACCCCAGACAGGAAACATGACCAGATGAGGTAATTCCGCTTTACTGTAAAATTACATTAACAGAATCCTGAAAGTTTGTTTGAAGACATTTATTTTGCTCTAGAGACTTTGTTTTCTTTTATTTTCTTTTTACTCCCTGACTTAAACAAAATCTCTAGTTCACAAGGTCTACTAATTAGTACAAGATAAGAATCTTCACTCTGCAGACTAACTTCATTTTCACGGGCAGGGATGTTTCTTCTTTCCTCAACTATTTTCTTTTGTTACCCAGAATAATTGTTTCTCTTAAGAATATTTTATGACTTGATACATATTTGACGAGTCCAATGGCATATAGCTTTATATGCCATGATATAGATCTCTCTCACTGTCTTCTGTGTGAGTTGCTGGGACCAATAGGTGGTAGTCACACAAGGTATTTGTGCAAAACTAGGTTTGAGAGCTTAGGATGTGTAAATTGAGAATATTTTCAATTCTACTTTTTAAATGCAATTGTTGTTCCTAAGGATTTTGTGTCTGTTGTGCTTTCTTTTTCAGGCAGTTTGCCAAATGCAAAATATGCATTGTGCATGAACAGCATCTATTTTTGTTAACACTCTTGAGCTTTTCGATTGCCAAATACAAGCAATGTGCAGTATGCAAAAGTCTCCCTTATGTTATCCACTGGATATTGTTGAAATATCTATTATGAATTTACTTATGTTTGCTTATTGCCATGGGATCTAAGAGACAACCATCATATGTGCCAGAATTAAGATTTTTTTCCCAAAGAAATGTTCATTTGGATTTTTACAAAATAGGATCCTATCCTATACTATTCCATTTTATCCTATCCTACTCATCCCATTCATTTATACTATTATAATTTATAGCAAAAAAAGAAAAACAATAGGTATGTGATAGTTACTCAGTTTTTAAATATTCATGGGTATCTATTAAGAGGCAAATAACAAAATATGCTTTGCAGCTTTGCGATGCAAACACATCTCTTGTGAAATTGCGATGTTGCAATTAATTGCAAAAGGCCAATCTTGTGTTATGATATCCCATCAGTTTTGTCATGTTGGCACTATTATCGCTAACTACAGATGCCTATATCTACACAGAACACATCAAAAAATAAAGCTTTTGGTATATAATTCAGTATCACATTAATATCTTTACACATTATTAGGTAAAGGTAAAGCTTCCCCTCGCACATATGTGCTAGCCATTCCTGACTCTAGGGGCAGTGCTCATCTCCGTTTCAAAGCTGAAGAGCCAGTGCTGTCCAAAGACGTCTTCATGATCATGTGGCTGGCATGACTAAATGCAGAAGGCGCACATAACGCTGTTATTTTCCCACCAAGGTGGTCCCTATTTTTTTTACTTGCATTTTTTACATGCTTTCGAACTGCTAGGTTGGCAGAAGCTGGGACAAGTAAGAGGAACCCACTCTGTTACACGGAGTTACATATTATTACTCTTCCCAAAATCTTATTAACATTACAGCATGTATTAGAATAAAATGGGGTGAATATAAAACATGTTCAAATCGTATTTCACTATTTCCTCACATATAGTGTGACTCCAGCATAACAAAAACTGGTATCCAATTCTTCCTAAACTGCTGATGTGCTCCCAGAGCTGTTAGTCTTACTATTGCATCCGGTTACTAGACTCTATTCCGTGATGTAAAAGTATACTTAACTAACACAGGTAATTCTTGACATGACCAGTTGTTTCGCAACTATTGAAAGTTGTAACAGACGTGAAAAAAAGGTACTTGTGCCCTTTATTTCAACTTCTGGTAGCTCATGTGATCACATTTTGGATGATTGGCATCCAATCTGCACTTACGGCTATTTTCAGCATCCCATGGCCATGTGACTGTGATTTATGATTTTTGGAAACCAGTGTTCACTTCTGGTTTCCAGAAAAAACAAACAAACCACCCATAAAATGGCTTCACTTAACAACTGTGGCATTCGCTTAATGACTGCTCCAAAAATATTGTAAAATCATGTCAGTCACATGATGACCTGCTTAATGACTGGCACTGTTTTAAACCGTAATTCCAGGCTTAGTTACAGTTGTAATAAAAATACCTTTGTCTTGTTTGGTTTAGCAATAAATTTGCATAAGGAATTCAGAAAACATGATTTGTAAATAAATAGACAAAGAAAATAGTATGGACTCTTCATAATCTAATTAAGAAAAATCTCCCATCCATTAAAAGTCTGACTTTTCTAACCACAAACATGCTATTCTCCCAGAAGTTGTTTTCCGATTCAACTGTGACATTTGAAAGTAGAGTCTCTCTTGAGAAAGTTTTGAAAGAAAGAAAAATCTGTTCTGTTAAAAATGCTGGTTGACATTTCTGTTTGAGAAATATACAGTAACCTTCAAGATTTGTAAAAAAATAATGTGCGTGAATTATAAGATGACCAACTAGATTCCTTCAAGAAATTCTCCATCATAAACATGGTGGGAGAGAAAAAGACTTTTACTGTTGCTCCTATTAGCTGATATTTAGAAATGTTGCTTGCAATTCCATCAATGGTAAATTACCATCAATATTAGTAGGCCCTGATAGTATTGGGCCCTGATGACAGGCCCAAGGAATCAGAATGACATTGTGAGCTGATCAAAGTTGCTTCTTTATTGTTGCCTACCCATTTATAGGAATCTCACCAGATTGACTACACTCTTTTGGGAAAAGCCAAATAAAGACTTCAGGAATTCTAGGATAGCGGGCGTCTATATACAAAGCGCATGCACACACACACACACACAAGTTCT